ACTCAGATACCAATCTGGTAACTAACATAATGATCCAGAGATCCCAATCCGTAAGCTAAGATAATGGTCAAGATACCCAATCTGGTAAACTAACATAATGATCCAGAGATCCCAATCCGTAAGTTAACATAATGGTCCAAAGATCTCAATTCGGAAAGCTAACACAATGTTCCAGAGATCTCGTTCCGGTGTCGTAACATTATGGTCCAGAGATCTCTATCCGGTAAGCTAACACAATGGTGCAGAGATCACAATCCGGTAAGCTAATATAATGGTCCACAGATCTCGTTCCAATGTCTTAACATAGTCGTCCGGAGATCCCAGGTAAGCTAGCATAATGGGCTAAAGATCCCAAATCAGATAAGCTAGCATAATGGTTTAGAGCTCCTAATCATGTAAGCTGGTATAAGGGTCCGTAGATCCCAATCTGGTAATATATCAAAAGGGATTGGGGATTCTCACCCAGTAAGATATCACAAATCTTTCTCACAACGCCCGTTTTAGTCGCATCTGAAGCAGAAAAGTATATAGAACTCAATATCATTCATATTATCGTACTGATTTACTTTAGGACTATTGGTTGACCTATTTGTATAAAAGATTAGTTGGTAGTCCAGTTTTAAAGGTACCAGAGGTTTCCAGTGATTTCAGACTTTATGCTCACTGTACCAATACTAACAGGTGGGTGTATAGGAGTAGGTGCATTGTTTTTCGCCGGCGCTGAAAATCCTTTCGACCACCTGTTGCCATTTAGCCCCTTTTGACAATTCTGTGACCCCTTATAGGTCAATTATAGACGCCAATATGAACTTTGAAAATCCTACTATTCTATTGGTCAAGAAAATACCACAGTTCGCCTGAATTTGCTGCCCGAAAACATATTAATTGCAACAGCACTCTGTCAACATCTGATAGATATATATGGCGAGTATTAAAGTACTCACGTTTCAGTGATGTCAGTACTTAAAAGAGCACTTGACTGGTTAAGATTATAAACTCAACTTTCACTCAAACCTCGCTAGATCTGCAGAAGGACTGAATTAAAAAAACACAAAACTACAAAAGATTATCTTGAGTTGTATTTCAATCATATTATTTTCAATCTGTTGTAGTTCCAGTCAATATGAAAAAGGGAGTATAACGATGTATTTTATGAACCTAGGAGTTGATACCATACCACTAGACTTTCCTGATATTTCTCACAACCCAGTCGATGTTTATATCTTCAGTCCAGGAGAATACAGAAACCTGACCTCCAAGTAAGTTGGCAACTTTCTCAGACATTTGACATTTGATTCCATGGAAAGTTTAACAATGACTATATATCAAGCTATACGTTACCCTTTTTACATTACATACCTTCGGATTTTTCGACCCGGTTCACCCTGACTTCCGATTTATGAGACCTATTTATGAGAAACATGCCCGAAAATCTTGCATTGGCGTCCACGTTTTTACTCCGAAAGGGTCCATTGGTACACAAAAATTTGGCTAAAAACATTTAAACGGAATACATTTGTATATACAATGGTACTGTTCACAATGGTCAAAACTCGGCCGATCTATGAATTGTTTGGAAAGATGATATCTAAATCGCATCCAAGTTATGTGACCACTTCACCAGACAGGTGTTTTTTTTTACTTTTACCCACGAGTCGCAAGCGTAAGAAGGGTTAAAATGACACAGCATAATTATACTAATGTCAATGTCTAAAGAATTGGAATCATTGTAATTACAGGAGTGTTAGAATGAATGGTCAAATTCTGGAATTGAAGAACGAGTACGAGTTACCGCCCTTGATACCAGAGAGTCGTAACAGCACGGTTAATATTGAAGCTTATGAGATGGGTTATATCGTACTCCCGAATGTTAAATCAACACCATGTCTTTGATATAAAAAAAAATGTTTATAAATTAAGTTATTTGTTAGTTATACCCACAGTGGAGGCAGTTTTCTAAATATTTGCTTTTTTTCTATTAGAACTGTCTTAAAGCGACAGAAGTTTAAAAACCCATTACTGATGTTATTTGATTGTACAAGAACTGGACGCCCTTTCTCTGAAGAGTGCTGCAGATAGCTAAAATTTACTATCCGATTTTTAAAATCTTTTGAGTGGACATCTTACAGTTATTAAAATGAGGTTTTCTAAAAAAAAATTATGTGTATCAATTCGAACCATTCCAATTGTAAATCATACATCAGTGGTTCCTGCAATTCCACTTAAACTAAGCGTTTAATGATTTCACTAACCGCAGGATTATGCTGTCACATAAGGACTTAGTAACGCCATAAAACATTAGTTTCAATGGAATTGCAGGAACCACAGACGTCTGATTGAAATTGGGATGGTACAAATTAATGCTATCAAACTGCATATTAGGCCAACATCTTGTACCTTAACCTATTGATTGTTATATTAATCAGGTCACTGATACAACAACAACATTTTTATATTATCGTCCTGTTGTTATCATCGAGACTAGGTCCAGACCTTGACTGCTGAACACTCTGTTTTCTCGTTGCCTTGTAACATTTATAGTAAGATGTTTCTTTCCGGAAGGTTTGCAGTCAAATGGATAACCTTGCTGATAGCGTGCTTGATCAGTGTTGGAAGCTGTTATGATGTGGATGTGCAGCAATTTAAAGACTCCGGATTTCAAATCGGTCCAAAATTTGTCGGAGTTACCATCGATTCCGGTATATTCGGACATTTTTCAGAGCTGCAATTGCAGTAAGTCAAACTACTTCTTACTCATCTATATTGTTAAGCTGTAGGATGTAGCATCCGATCGGGTTGAAAATCCACAACAGTGGAAAATGTTTTGAGAAGTAATTTCTGATGAATTCTTTGTTTCGAAATCAGAAACGTTTACACTGTGTTCATAGCAATATAGAACGATTTGGTTATTACAAAACAGAAATAAGGGGTTGGTGACGTTCCATTTATTCCAGAGAGAGCGAAAAATAATCATAGTAAGGATGTACTTCGGTATAAATATATTTCAAAAGCTGACAAAGCATTGATTAAAGATGGCTTCCCTCATTTACATTTCCGAAAATGGAAATGCTAATACTTCTATGAGTAGAAAAGAGAGGTGTTCTAATGACCAGTTTGTCTCACATGTCCATAATTAATTCATAATTAGCTAAATTAGGAGAGAATAACCAGCAGAATTCCAATGAGTGACCGATCAAGTAAGGTCAAAAATTTAATCTCTTAAAATTATATGCAATAAGAACAAAATGATATGATTTAAAAATACATGATGATTTATTAGATAAAACCATCTTAAAGGTTCTGTTCTATTTCAGGAACCCTAAAGTGCTGACTCTTGCTAAAGGGTTAACCCCTAATAGAGTGCGTGTTGGCGGTACTGACTGTGATTTTGTTATTTTCAATGATACAGTAACTAGTGGTTTAAATAAACAGGGTGATCATACTAATACTTCCATGACTGGTAAGCTTCTTTATTCATTTCAGATTCTTCTCTTCTTTATTTATCAACAAAGTATCGAAAATACCCAATACTCAGTGTACATGAAGATGTGCACGTCTAAAAATATGGATAGTTCAATATTCAAAACTCAATCTCCATCCAAAAAAGGAACAAAAAATGACAATTACAAAAACACCAAAGAAACTTAAATGAGTGTAAAGGGGATATAGGCAATGTGCCGATATCAAATCCGATAACTTTCGATGAACGAGTAGATTTTCGGGCGAGCTGGAATAATGATTTTTATGGTTTATTTTCAGTTGCTGATTGGGACGAACTGAACAATTTTGTGAGGAGTGTTGGTTGGGATTTGATTTTTGATTTTAACGAGTTTCTGCGGAAGGGAGACAACTGGGATCCTACCAATGCCATAGAAATCCTGAAATACTCACAACAGAAGGGATATAAACTGTGGGGATATGAGCTAGGAAATGGTAATGTGCATTCTGATTAACCTTAGCTACCAAAAGTAAATTGCTGGCTACTGTTGACAGTTGATAGTTTGACACTGTACTTGTCCAAGAAAGTAAGATGATGTTCATTGAGGTTTTTCTCTTTCAGAATTGGATGTATTTCCAGAGAATAATCTATCTGTTCCACAGATCGCAGCTGATTTCATTTCCTTCAGACAGCTGTTAGAAAGTATGGCCGGAATATCCCCCTTTACCCTACTCGGACCAGACGCTGGATCTGTGGGCAATAGATCCTATGTTTATATGACGGCGTAAGTTTCTGTCAATTTGGGGTTTAACGAATACATAGGCTTTGAGGACTGTCATGAAGTGCTTGAAACTGGTACCTAAATTTCACACAATAAGATTACAGTTATTTGTTGAGTTTTTTTTTAGTTTATTGCAGACGAACCTTTTGTCAAAACTTCACTCTAAAAAGTGGTTGAGGGATATAGTAAGTTTAGCACACCCCTTTACGGTTGTATCTTATTTATTACAGGTTCTTTAAAGCTGGTGGAGCTAATGCTATCGACGTCTCAACTTGGCATCAGTAAGTTCATTTCACTGTGTCTTCTTATCAATCTCAAGTCCCCCCCCCCCCCCCCCCTCTAAAACAAAACAACAGTCCGTTAGATGGAATTGCATTTCTCAAGGGCCCAATTGGCCATAATAAAATGTTTTGATTCTGTCGAGAAAATGTCAGATGATGATGGTTAAATCGCCAGATGTATTTTTGGGGGTTTGTGAGATCGTGGCCTCAGACCTACCATAGGACCTACCATCTTGTAGCATTAGAATCAGTCCACATCTTAATCGATTAGAAGAATAGATCCATTTGCATACATTTTAACTTTACTTGCTAATGGAATCCTTCCAGTTACTATATGAACAGTCTAAAAGCAACAGTTGAGAAATTCCACGACGTCAAGACTCTGGAATCGCTAAGACCAGAATTAAATAAAGTTATGGAAATCTGTAGAGAATATGCTCCAGGAAAAGAGGTTTGGTTGGGAGAAACATCTTCGTCTTATGGTGGTGGAGCTCATGACATATCTGATAGATACGTCGCTAGTTTCTTGTGAGTTATAACAAATATTTGGAATTGGAACAACTCGTCTTTCGAATGATATTTAACTTTATTGGGACAAGTGAATAGGTTGAAATACTTTGTAGGAAGCTTCAGACAAATATTTGATGCAATTTCTGCAACTTTGGAATGGCGTCAATTTTATTTCTTCATCGTCAATGGTTTGGTTTAGTAAAATTCATAAATAAAAATAGACCTTAACAGTCTGAAATCTTGATATGCCCGTTTTTGTCTGATAAGCACTTTGTATGACAATTTATGCCCGTCGATAAGTACTTGATAACACAATTCATCCTTCTGATACTTAGTATGACAATTAATATCTCTATATTTTGTTTCAGATGGTTAGATAAGCTCGGCCTGGCATCATCTCTGGGAATTCAAGGTATACTACGACAGACGTTTTATGGTGGAAACTATGCTTTAATGGGATCTACATTTGATCCCAATCCGGTAAGCTAAGATAATGGTCAAGATACCCAATTCGGTAAACTAACATAATGGTCCAGAGACCCCAATCCGGTAAGCTAAGATAATGGTCCAGACATACCAATTCGGTAAACTAACATAATGGTCCAGAGACCCCAATCCGGTAAGCTAAGATAATGGTCAAGATACCCAATTCGGTAACTAACATAATGT